TGAGGCCCAGAAGAGTGCAACCCTTCGACTGTTCTCTGAAATGACCCACACCTGGGCCATTCAGAAATGCTTATTCCTGGGCATTTTGGATGAACTCTTTTTTTTTTAAATTAATTTATTTAATTAATTTATTTTGGCTGTGTTGGGTCTTCGTTGCTGAGTGCGGGCTTTCTCTAGTTGCAGCAAGCGGGGGCTACTCTTCATTGCAGTATGCGGGCTTCTCATTCCAGTGGCTTCTCTCGCTGTGCAGCACAGGCTCTAGGCACGCCAGCTTCAGTAGTTGCAGCACGTGGGCTCAGTAGTTGTGGCACACGGGCTTCGTTGCTCTGCGGCATGTGGAATCTTTCCGGACCAGGGCTCGACCCGTGTCCCCTGCAGTGGCAGGAGGATTCTCAACCACTGCGCCACCAGGGAAGCCCCTGGATGAACTCTTAACACTAAACGCTAGTCAGTGTGTGGTCTCCCAAGTAGAGGGGCAGGACTTTGAGCCACTGGAGCACGTGAGCCCCCACCCACCCCCCCCGCCCCCCGCCATTGTGTCCTGCGATGCTCGAGCTATCATTCTCCATTCTCTGAGCGTGTCCGGTGTTCCTCTGGCTGGGGCCCGTCACTGGAACCTTGGGAACTGTGGGCCCCCTGCTGCGGGGGGTGGCAGCGAGTACCTGCCCTCCTGGGGTCGGGTGGTGTGTCGCGGGGCCTGCTGCTCCTGGGTGACTACGCTGGGGTAAGGGAGCGGAGGTAGAAGACGGCGGACCCATGTTAATTAATGTCTGCCTTTGGAGACTGCTGTGCAGGCGCTGTGAAGTCCTGGGGAAGAAGGGTCTGGGTAGTGAGCTGTCTGTAGCTCTTTTTCGGGAGGAAGATGTAATCTGACCCCCAGAAAACCCTGTGGCCTTCTAGACTGACCTCAAGCCAGGACGTTCTGCCGAGGTCCTGGCTTCCAGCGCGTGTCCGCGTACAGGGAGAGCCCCCAGCTGGCAGGAAGCACACACACCCAAGCTCTTTCTTACCTCTGCCTCTGAGGCCAGGAGGTGGGAGGAGGGTCTGTGCTCACAGCATGCCTCTCCCTTTGTCAGGAGCAGAGGGTCACGGGGTCCCTGACCTAGAGAGTTTGGGGCTTCTCAGGGAGGAGACCAGACTTGGTTCAGGAGCTTGGCAGGAAGTCAGGAAGTCACTGCCCCCACACAGAAAGCTCAGGGGGAACTGGAAATGTCTGTGGTCTCGTCCACAGCCGTGGGGGTGGAATTCCCCAGAGTCACGTGATGTAGGAAGCTGCCCTGGGCCCCAGGCCAGCACCCTCCACGGGGGGCCCCCCCCGCCCTGCACCTGCCCTATCCCCCTCCTCCCCAGCTCCCCAGGGCTCTCAGACTGTGGTCCGAGTACCAGCAGCGGCAGCACCTGCAGACTTGTTAGAAATGCACATCTTAGGCCCCACCCGACCCTGCGAACTCAGTGGGGCTGAGCAGTCCCAGATTCCAGTGCTCCACCTGCCCCGAGGCTCTGACCCAGGCCG